CGAAACGATAAGACGTCTATCTCGAACGCTGTCCCACCTCGGAATGCCTAGTAGCAAGGAGGTTAGAATATTCTATTCTATTCCTCCTTGCCTAGTAGCTCAACCACACCACTATGCGAAAATACAGTTCTTCCAAATTTTCCGCAGCTGTATTTGTTTGAATGTTACTGGCAGCACTTGTTGTAGCGGTGTTTTCGTTTTGTATTCATTTGAACAGTCGTTGCTAAGGCTGAAAGATGAAGGTACTTTTTTTTTTTCCTTCGTAATACTGAATGTTGTAGGTGTGCACGGATTTAATTTTAAGGAGAAATTCCTATGCAATATGTACTTTTTGTTGGACATTTGTTCTTTCGAAATATATTTTTTTTTTTAAAATTTCTTTTGGTGGAAAATGTTTTCATTCCTTAATGATGCAAGTCTTCCTCTTCAGGATATTATGTTTTATAGCGGTAGTATTAAAGAAATTATAAATTTCACAACCTTAGTTTAAGATATTTTATAACCCGTAATTTTATAGTCCCTCATTATATTCTGTTTTGGTATCTGGTCTATTACATATATCCCGCACTCTGGGAAAGATCCCTTTACACCATTCTGTTTTTACGTTTGCATTTAAACATATTCGAAAGAAATAACGGGTGTTTTGTGTTTCAAAAATAAATAAAAAAAAAAAGAAAGTTATTTAGTGTTTTCGTATGTTGTGGGCCCACCAGCGGCAGAGCGGTAAAGTCGCTGAACCGGGAGTTCGTCGAGGTTCGAATCCTGCGAACGGGTGGCGCATGGTGTTCGTGTTTTCCCATGTTACGGTATACGAGCCAGTCCCTTAAAATCCTCCACAAGGCTCCCCCGGCTCGGGGCAGATAGCCCGTATGTGCTTGCCATAAGGAAAATACTACAATATGTATCTGTGAGTTAGAGTGGATTTGAAAGGGACGTTTAGTTATGGCAGGTAAGTTCGTTTAGCCTCCCCCTTTCAGTTAGTTAGGGATGCTGAATTTGGTGGGGGCCTTATAACATAATGCCATGATGAAAAGAAACAACCGTCACAAAGACAGTGAAAAAATCCATTCGCAGAAACCTGAAAATACAAACATAATGGGAAAGGAAAAGGACCCAAAATTCGGTGTGGCATTTGTTCTTGTATACAGGGGGAGAGTATAGAAGCCCCTTGGCAATTTTGGCAGTACTGGTGCCTTGTGGGCCGTGTTTGACGCGGGAGGGGTGCGGTGAACGACGATGGTGCACCAAAATCGCCACTACACAGCCAATAACAGACGACTGCACCAACTCGGGATCCTGTACACACCCGCAAGCCTTAAAAAAAAAAAAAAAAAAAAAAAAACCTATGCATAAAATGGCGGTGCACCCGTTGATTATCCATGTACACGTCGATCTATTTTACTGAAAAAAAAATCCCCGAATTTCACAAAAATAGCATTGTGCACTCTTTTAACTTATCCTAAACGTCGACCTATTTTCACTTAAAAAAATCCCAGAATTGCACAAACTTGCATGCCAGACTTTTACTTTGTCCATGTACACATTGATATATTTACACTTAAAAGTCAAAGGAGCACCAATTCTAAATATAGGGGGAAAAAAAAAATCTCAATAAAAATACATTTTAAACCAAAAAATAAAACAGAAAGAAAAACATGTTATATATTAAGCACTACCAAAAGCAAATATTCACACCATGATTTGAGTTCGCTTCGTACACCCCGAGCCACGTAAAAATCAAAATATCAATCATCCAAATGACTTTTTCAAACCAGGTACTCTTCTGATGAACAATTCACATAGTGACCATCTGAACTTTCTTCCTACAAACCCATTCAAATCCATCTAAACGATTTTTACGTTACTAGCGCATATCCTTCCTCCATACAAAAATTATAATGGCTACTAGTAACCACATTTACACACAGTCAATTAAAGCTCTTTCCCCTTTGCCCAAATTTGACAAACTTCAAATTGATCTTAACATTCGGCTTTCTACTGTCTAAAGAATCAAACCAACAACACCACAAAAACGTTACAAAAATCCCATGATTCAAAATTCCCAGAATCATGCACCTGATTATGTCACAATAGGGTCCCATAAAATTAATACTCGGCTACCATAATGAAACAACAACTTGGCGATAAATCAAACAACAACTTCACCATAATACAAGGGGTACCTTAAAGTCTACTCTACCCCAATTTCTCACTTGAATGTCGTTCTTCTTGGAGCTTTTAATGTTTTATCATCAGATGCTTTCATCATTCATATATAAGTTTTTTCATGATCACTTTTGGAGTATTCTAGGTGCTTTTTTGTTGTTGGGACCAGATTCAGAAAAGTATGTATGGCTGTATGTGCATAGGTATGTATGCGTTCATGTATGCATGTATGTGCCTAGGTATGCATGCGTTTTTATACATGCACACATATATATGCACATGCATACATACATTTCCGAATCTGATCCTGACATATTCTAGATAGTATGAAATGAAATGCCATTTTACAAAAAGAATACTTCTTCATTTTCTCAAATCTTGCTAAATTAAAAATTGATAGCAAATTTCACAACTGAGAAACTTAGACGAGAATCTGTGCATGCTTTCACTTTGTTTACAATATGTGAAATGTCTTTCTGGGAACACTTTGTCCTCAATATATGGAATGTGATTTTTGGAAGAACAGTTGGTAAAAATAAATACCAATTTACGGGTGCCCCTTGGCAATAATTAGCAGTATATGGATACTGAGTTTGTGCAGTTCTTTGACTTGTTATTTTGGCTTTGTGTAGTGGCAATTTTTGCACCAAAAATCACCTATTTTCACTTTAAAAACATCAGAGAGCTGCACAAACTAATCATTGCACACTTCCTTGATTTTGTCCATGTATACATCAATCTGTATTCACTTAAAAAGTCAAAGAAGCAGCCAACAAAAAATATATATTCTCAGTAAACTACATTTAAAATTAAACAAGAAAATAACATACCAAATCCATCTTAACACTACACAAAGGATATATCCACTTAACTAATTTACAAATTTCCTTGTCTTCAGACAAACAAAATTCCTTAACAGCATCCAAACTGCCGATTCTCTACAGAAGCGTAGACTCATCACCACAGAATTCAAAACTAATGTGAACTTCCCAACATGCAGTCTCCGCTCCATATTCTGCCGTCCTACACAGGACACTTAATGGTCACTAAGTAAAGTTCATTGCGAATCGTTGAAGATGCGAACAGGATTGGGCGACACGTGGGAGGCATAAGGTGACTAGCTAGGACTTCGCAGTTACAGTCAAATCAAGAGTGTGCGCAAGCCATTTTGTGAATGCTGGGATGTTGTTTTAAGTGAAACTCGTCGACGTTCATGGATGATACCGTGATTTCGTCTTAAAACGCGGCAGCAGGGTGCGTTCTACCTTTCTCCCCTTTCGCACTAATTCATCTGTTAAGCCTTTGTTCCATCAACGTTCTAGCATAATCAGATTTGGCTAGCTGATGTTGAAAAAGGTTGAGAAAGCAAACAGCTTACTTCGTAAACAAATGTGTCCAAAACAAACTAGTCAGGTGGTGCAGGGGATCGCCAAAAATCGCCAAGTGACATAATCCAGATGAACCTTGCATTTACACTCAACAGTTATGCTTTTTTTTTCCCCCGGGTCAGTCATTGGACAGAACTTCAATGAATTGCACACTTAAGCCATTTTACGTGGAACCACAAACACAACATACTCTATCAAAAGGTGGCCCATCACCAAATTCACCGCACTCACGCAACCAATTACGTCATAATAGGGTTTCCATAGCATTTATCTACTCAGGTAACTACTATAAATGAAACAACTTAGCGATAATCCTAGGGCACCCTTAAATCTACTCTAATTGAACAGTTTATACACAAAGTGTCAAGTAGGCTTTGTTTTTAGGTGGAGATCAACTTTGGTGATTAAACATGGAGGCAGTGATTTTTCTTCGCAGTGGTCATTATAATACAGAAATATCAAACTTTTAATCAATCAGTTGTTTATATATTATCTTTCATTGTTCATGATTTGTAGCTAACATTAAACTAGCATTTGAATGCCATAAAAATATAAATAATTGGGTCTTGTTCAAAAGAATTTATTGAGCCATGTTTTCAGTTGTATATTGGTGCATAAAACAACTCAAAGACTATTCTTGATAAATAGTAAAAGTAATCTGAAGATATTATATCAAGGAAATGTACTGGGTTCAGTAGAACTTTACAAGTTAACTCCTAAGTTTTAATCAGATTTTCGGGATGGGGGATAAGCATAAGTATGTGTTAAAGAAGTATAAAGTATTGTTAGTTTAGTTGTTTCTTTTGGATTACCTTGTTGATTGGATGTATTTGTTGAATATAAAGCAGTCAGTTCACTGTATACATGTTATCAAACATTTTGTAGTGGGTTACGCATTGTCTTTCTCTCCAAGTACATTTATTTCTGTTGAATAAATGCAGCTTTGCCTTGGTTCAAGGTGTTGCATACTGTCAAATTCGGCTATCTGCATCGTGTTGACATATATGCACAACCATTTTTTTATCACTCATGGTGTTCTATAAAACAGTCTGTTTCCGTCTTCAGGTAGCATGGACTAATGGTAGCTTGAATGCTAAATTTTTTTCTTTTTTATTCAGAACATCTGGCATCCATGCTCAGAGTTTTAAGATCTTATTCATTTAGTGAAGATAGAGTAATGATATAATGATGAATATAGTCAAAAGTCGTTAATTCGGACACCCATAGTCCGGAATATCATATCCGACCGCAAGCTACACCGTCTGCGCATGCATCGCATTGACCTGCACTAGACCTTTACGCTGCGAGTGCGTGGCGCAAATAGTTGGATGCCCGAACATGATAACGCGGTCTAACTAACTAAATTAATTCAGTTTAAGATAGATGCGTTGTTCCTTCATCTCGAAGTGGAGCGCGTATATTGGGGCAGACTGGTAAGCATTCATAAAGTACGGAAGGGATTCTTTCGCTTATGTCTCCTAAATTTCTAATAATATTCTATCTGTAAAGTCGCACACAGTTAAGTCGTTTCGAGTCCATTAACAAAAAGTGGAGGGCAAAAAATGGAAGCTACTGGTAACAGAACTGTTTATCTAACTTTGTCATCTTTACGCGCGCACCAATGATGGAATTGACTGTCATACTTCCTAGCTCAGGCGATGGGGGAGTGGAGTGACGGAGAAGGCCTA